GCTGAAAAGTATCGAACCTTTAAAAACTTTATCCATACCAAGGTGGTACTTGAATGGCAAAATATCAATAGCAACGGAAAATGTCGTGGAAAGGGAGTTGCACATTTGCTGCGACATTTTCCGTTGCTATTGATATTTTGCCATTCAAGTACCACCTTGGTATGGATAAAGTTTTTAAAGGTTCGACACTTTTCAGCCAGTTTTTCCATTTGATGAATTCTCTATCCTTAACGTGTTCGTCCCAAGTTACACCACTTCTCCATACGTTTTGAAGTAGTATTCGGGATTTAATAGTCAGTGGTACCAAAAATCCCTGTATATCGAATATAGACATAACCACCCTTAACATTTGTCTTTTTGTCGGCCTTTGAACACCTGTAAGGATATCTTTGCTCACGCGCTTCAGAGAAACATCGAAACTCAGTTTATCTGCAGCCGGAAACCAATAAATTCCTAAAGTCCTTTCGCTCTCGCTTGATCCCTCTATCTTAAATTGAACAGCGCTAGGACAAAGGTCTTCCTAAGGTAGACTTCGCAGGACTCCAATGCTATTACTAGTCCAATTCCTAATTTCAAATCCACCACTCTTGTGGATGTCATATATTTCTCGCCCTAACCGTATTGCCTCTTCCTCACTGTCAAGGCTATCCATAAGGTCATCCATGTAATGGTTTTTGATTATACTCGTAACAGCACGAGGAAACTGTTTTTCAAACCGTTTAGCATTTATATTTTTGACATACTGAGCCACGAACGGCGAGCAGCATGCTCCAAAAATTAAAGAGTTCATGCAATATATAGCCGGAGAACTAGAGACTTTGTCATCGTCTTGCCAAAGGAAACGCAAAGTATCTTGATCTTCTTTTCTAATTTGTACACGTAAGAACATATCCTTGATATCACCTGTAATTGCAATGCGGCGCTCTCTGAACCTCAGGAGAATTCCAAATAAAGATATAAGTAAGTCTGGACCTTGAAGAAAGTTAATCGTTCAATGAGTAACCTTGAGATTTTGCCGCAGCATCAAATACAAGGCGCAATTTTTTCTTGTTCGGATTGTCGACCCCAAAATGAGGTAAATACCATAAACGGTTGGATGTTGCGTTGGCCTCTTTACAAAGATAAGCATAATTATTGTCAATAAGGTGTTGCATACGTTCCTTATATCGCACTCGAAAACCTTCGTTCATATTCATTTTTTTGACTACCCCTTGAAGACGACTATAGGCCGTAGCATAGGAGTCCTTCATCTTGACATCCTTATCCTTCCACGGCAAACCAACTTCCCAGTGAGATCCCATATGCCTGGACGTCGCTTCAAGAATATTCAATGCTTTGACATCTTCTGAACAGTGCCTCGTCTTAATGCTGACACCTAGCGCATCTAAAGCATACGACCGTTTGACGAGATCGTGTAAGTCATTTTCCGTACAACTATCTTCGTTTTGCTGGTTTAATATCAACAGTGTATACGCTTTAGTCGTTCCGTGTGCTCGATGCTTACTGAATGAACGTCCATGGACTTTCCAACCCAGAGCGGTACGCGTTGCATAAGGATCACCCTCTATAGTCTCTAAAGGCGCTAAGAGATGGTAATTGTCCTGACCGATGATCATAGACGGTTTCATGTGGCCACAAATTAGCATGTCCTGAATACCTGAGAGGTGACTAAAGCTTTCAGGTTGAAAGTTCTGACTTGGTAGACTGATTCCGTTTACAGTACGAGCTTCAATCTTGAAACGATCGGGATGTTGACCCGAGACTTCGAAGGTCAATAACTCTGTCTCGCCAATCAAAACGCTGTTGTTCCAAGCACCGAAAACGTGTAAGGTCTTAGGTTGACCTTTCAACCCTGCTTGTTCAGCAATCTTCTGATCTATCATCGTAATTGTAGAGTAACAACGTCGCCGTTAGGGCCATGGATGTGAACCCTAACATACTTCAATAAGATGTGGGAAGGTGTTGGTGAATTGGCTACATTGGAAAATGTCGTGGAAAGGGAGTTGCACATTTTCTGCGACGCATCCCCACAAGCCTACGCTACAGTTGGCTACTGGCGTATTTTCGACGGCAAGAATGTGGCCGTAGCGTTCATAGCCAGTAAAAGTAGAGTCGCACCATTAAGACCTATTTCAGTGCCGCGATTAGAGTTACAAGGGGCAGTATTAGCATGCAGGTTAGCAGCTACCATCGAAGAAGAACACACGTTAAAGCCAAGTCGAAGATATTTTTGGACTGATTCTTCTACGGTTTTGCTATGGATTCGGAGTGATGCAAGAAATTATAAACCGTACGTTGCTAATCGCTTAGGCGAAATTGACGAGCATACTATCACCAATGAGTGGAGATATGTTCCCACCTCTACGAATGTGGCTGATTTTGCTACTAAGGAGAATGTAGAAGAACTTACCTTTGATCATCCATGGTTACAAGGTCCTCAGTTTCTGTGGCTTGAGCGTTCTCAGTGGCCTAGTAACGAATTTGGAAAATGCTCTACAGACGATATTGACATTGAGCTCAAGAGTGAGGTAGTAAACGTTATTACGTCTTTTGAACCGTTCCCTATACCTGAACCAACGAGATTTTTGTCGTGGATGAGACTACTTCGCGCAACTGCTACTGTTTTAGCTGCAATCGATAAGCTGAGGAAAAGAGGCGGCATGATTGACGAGGCTAAATTAAAGGGAGCTGAAATCCTTATACTTCAACAAGAGCAACTAAAATCATTTCAAGATGAGATAATTTTGTTGCAACAGAATAAACCTTTGGGTAAGAATAGCAGAATTTGGACACTTACACCTTACCTAGATGAGAATGGCGTTTTACGTGTTCAAGGTCGTATTGACGCAGTAGTTGGCATCACTGCGGAGATAAAGCGGCATGCTATTTTAGATGGTCGCAGTCATGTCTCACGATTGATTATAATGCATTTCCATGTTTTGGCTGCACACTCATGTAACGAAACAGTTACAAATGAACTAAGGCAGCGATTTTGGATCGTTCACCTTCGGCCATCAGTTCGTAGCGTCAGTTCAAGGTGTTTAGTTTGCAGAATTAGAAAAGCAAGGCCTGCCATTCCAAGACAGGGTGATTTGCCCGCTGGCCGAGTTGCTCATCATTGCAGACCGTTTTCGCACTGTGGCCTCGACTTTTTCGGGCCGATAGACGTCACAGTGGGTAGAAGACACGAGAAGAGATATGGAGTAATTTTTACATGTATGACTGTTAGGGCCATTCACCTTGAGATTGTTCAATCTTTGACGACAGATAGTTTAATAATGGCCTTACGACGAATGGCTTCTAGAAGGGGGTGGCCAAGTGATCTTTATTCCGATAATGGAACAAATTTACGAGGAGCAGAGGCCGAACTAAAGAGGATGCAAACCGTAGTTGCTAGTTATCGTGTAACGTGGCACTTCAATCCACCCTTAACACCGCATATGGGCGGAACCTGGGAGAGGTTGATTAGAAGCGTAAAGACGGCTCTAAAAGTCGTTTTAAGGGAACGAGCACCCAGAGATGAAACACTTTCTACTTTGTTTTGCGAAGTAGAGGCGATTGTCAATAGTCGCCCTCTAACACACGTTTCTGTCAGCCCAGCTGACACGACTGCTTTAACCCCTTTTCATTTTTTAATAGGTACATCTTCTAACTTACCTTCTGGAACCACTCATGATTCTGATATCTGCTCTAGGAAGCAATGGCTTGTGGCCCAGAGATTAACCGATATGTTCTGGTCGAGATGGCTTAAAGAAGTCCTACCATGCCTGCTGCCGAGATCTATGAGGAACACGGGTGATGAGCAGTTACAAGTTGGAGACGTTGTCTTGTTGGTAGAACCGACTGCGGAACGAAATTATTGGCCTCGGGGGATAGTAGAGGCGCTCTATCCTGGAGTCGACGGCCGAGTGAGAGTAGCTGATGTGAGGACTGCACGTGGAGTGCTTCGTCGACGTTCTGCAGTCCGCCTGGTTCGCCTACCCTCAAACCCCAGGGGGGAAGAGTGTTAACGATGAAAGAGTTCCTAGTATGATTTGTGGTGTTATTTTTCTGTGATATATGTCATTGTTGCTTGTCAATGTTATTAAATCAATATAATAAAATATTTCCGTAGTAAAATTCTATGTTTTCCTTGCACGACAAAAACCAGCGCTCTAACGCTAATAGATTTAAATACCATACCATTGTAACTAAGTGAGTCATGGTACCATTTTGTGACATTTCGAAATGTCAGGATTTTGTCAGGACTTTTGAAATTCCTAAATGGTAACCCTATCTGGGCCCCAATTCCACCAAGTCGACATATGTCACTGACATTAAGTAAGCTGGCTATTGCCGAGTGACAGGACATTGAGTGGCGTTCAAGCACTTCTTGATTGGGATACTAGACTAGCGTTGCCAGACGTCCCGTATTTCCCAGGATGCCCGGTAATTTCTCGGGACGTTTCGTATTTCAGGCATAATTTTAAACGTCCCACCGCGATAGTCCTTATAGAGTATTTTAACATTATTGAAAGAAAGAAAAAAGAGTGCAAATCGGAAATGGGCCCGGGGCGCCAGATTTGTAGGGTTTTTATTATTTGTTTCGGTGAAAAATTTATAATCCCCTATTTTTTGGAAAAAGAGCATTTGTCCTTTACAGGATCAAAAAAAAAGAAGGCGAAGAGAGAGTTTATAAAGAACGAAAAAAGCAGACGGTTGAAATTTGTATGGAGGGTGGTGTATGGGGAGTGAATCTCCGACAGACTCCAAATTTTTATGCACTTCATGCATAGTGCACTGAATAGTAAATCGTTTGACAATAAACTAGAATTCCCATTTCTTTTTTTTTATTATTTATTACTTATAATTACATACTTATTGATTGGAAAGTGGCAAGTTTAATTATCTACTGTTTGTTGCCAAAGCAATAAATATATTCTATTCAATAGGTAACTAAAGCAGTGCTAATTATTCTTTTCATCCCCCGTTATATTATTAGGCATTTTGTGTTGTTACAGATAATTATGCCGACTGTTGTAACGGGTGCTGGACTGAGCCGAACAGTATTATCACTGCACAAGACTCGGCTCGGGCGAAACCGTGTTCATTCTCTATCGTTAAGATAATATTATGTCTCATTACATCTATTTATTTTAGCATAGCGTCTTTTAAGTGTAACAGAACATACAGTAAGTGCTCCGCATAACTAATTGTCTCAGATCCAAAGCCACGTACAAATTAGTGCCAGAAGACATTGTTACCGTTTTTATATGCACATTATTATGTAAATGAAATGTAACTATATTATATTATAGAGTGCAGCATTTATTATGTTACGATTTTAACGTTGTGATGATGGTCTCAGCAGAACCATAGTACTTAATAAATTAAATTTTATGATATACAAGGAAATTCCGCAATGTAAATTGTTATTTTATTTTTTTGGTTTGTTTTAACACGATAAATATTTCTATCATACAAAAATCATTTCGGCTCTTTGAAACTCACTAGAGAAAATTTGTTAATTACCACCGCAACTATTAATTTTAATTTAATAAAAAACGGGTTCGTATACGTAACAATGGGTGGGCAGAAAATCAAATAAATAATCTATTAATAAAGAAGAATTAATCAGTCAAAACTTTTTAAAAATCAGATTGCATGATTTATTTATTTCTTGATGCGATTATGTGAAATTTTGCATTAATAGATTATTTTATCCCTTATACTTTCATGAACTGTTGTTCGGATGGTTTTTACTGTCGATGAAATTGTGTAGATTTTAAGAGTACAGATTTGAATATATTGAACTGATAATAAAAAACAGTGAGTTTATTTTACCCAGAACATCCTTATTATAATTTATTTAGATTATTATTCGTACAAGTTTTTTCATACATACTTTTATCCCTTTTTGCCCTCTTTAAGGTTAGATTTTAGAAAGAACACTGATATCCTTTATTCTTTATTTCTGATCTTTGGTAATAATACAAGTTTCGAGTTAACGGAAAAACGCGTAAAAATTCATCCATATAAAAACTTCAACAACCTTCCAAACCCCTTTTAGTTTAGGCAAATTAAAAATGACAAACTTGATAGGTAAATTATTTATATATGTATTCGAGTCAAGTTTCATGTCTAATAACTCAAGGAATAAGATTTTTCGTACAAACTTTCATCCCCTATCTTTAACCCTTCGGGGATGAATTTTGAAAAATCCTTTTTCAGAGCCCCCCTGGACACCATAAGGAAACTACGTGACAAATGTGGAGTCCTAAGACCCAGCGGTTTGGGCTGTCCGTTAATTGTCAGTCAGTTAGTCTTCTTTATATATATGTATGATTTAGGATTTCAACTTAAGATAGCTTCACGCTTTACCGAGATAAAGGGGCTTGACAGACAGATGGACAACAAAGTGATACTATAAGGATTCCTTTTTTTTTCATTTTTCGTACGGAAAAAAAAAGTAGTCATGACGTCACAAGAGTTTCATTGGGCATTTAAAACAAGCTGTATCAAATATAATCGCTCTGGATTGTGTTATTCATCGGCAGAACTTGGTTGCAAAAAATCTTTATGAATGACTGCATGCATCGCTCCATTACGTTATTAGAGCAGTCAACAAGATAAAAGGCATTTCATAAATTACAGAGCATTTGGACAACTTTGTAGTGAAAATTATGAAGAATTGTGAACTATAATTGCTTGCTGCTGCACACAGAATTACTGGCTCTAGAAAGGCGTTTGTGTCTTGATCGCTTTTTCAAACTATTTGACTCAGTACGAAATTTTCTTGAAATGAGAGAAGATAAACTGCGCGGAAACTTGATTGCGTCTCGCTTATTTGACAGACCTTTATAAAATATTTATTGACGTTAAGAGCTGATAAGATGGTTGAAAGTCTTGGTCATTAAATAATTCTATTAAAACATGTTTAAGTATTTTTAACCGACTTCAAGACTTCAGAAAAGGAGGAGGTTCTGTGTTCGACTGTATATACAGAATGTTACAAAAATACAAATAAATCTTGAAGGGCGTCATATAACGAGTCTTCTCTAATTTTCTTATAATATTTGCATGAAGTTTTAACTTTTTATAAAAACAGTTATTTTTAATGATGACGTGTCTTAAAATGATCGATATTTAAATTATTCCTTCAACGCCCAAGCTTCAAGCTTTATTTGTATTTTTGTAACACCCTGTATATTTTTTTTATGTATGTTCACCGATTTCTTCGTCAATTGTGGACCGATTTCCAAAATTTTTTTTTCGAAAGAGTGCACTTCTAAGGTGGTCAAAAGAGTGCACTTCAAGTCAGGATCTGATGGTGGAATCCGGAGAAATCGAGGGAAACCTTCAAATTTTAAAGGCACGCACGACGTACGACAGCATTTCGCTAAGAAGTCATAACAATTTCTATATTATGTTCAAACTCTGGTCAATCCGTCTGATATTAATACACTTCTGGACACATCTATTGGCCCACCTAGTATTTTCAGTTTCGTTTGGTCCTAGCTAAAATTTTATATTAGGTCGAGCAAAAAGTTTTTATGCAGTTTTGAACCTGGCACATTCATAATTTCATTCAATAGTCTTTTTTTGAATTTCGAACACAGAATTTAAAGAAACATAAGACAATTTGGAGCCTGTTTGTTGATATCAAACAATCGAATACTAAGAAAACTTGGTTTTATTGGTTTACTTGGATTTAATTCTTGAAAAAGTGATTGATGTCTTTGGTTTTGCAACAAACATTACTTATTCTTAACATTAAGGTGAGGTTCTATCAATAATCTATGGATACTTCACCTGAAGTCGCCGCCCAAGCTGTGGCACTTATTCAGGCCGGATACAGCCAAAGAAACGTCAACTTAATTTAAGCCGATCTGCGGTCCGAAATGTTTATCGGAGGTACCTAGAGACTGGCGGCTTTGTTCGTCGCCAAGGAAGGCCACGATCTCGGGTCACAATCACAACTGAAAGGCAGGATCGATTCATCGTGACGACCAGCTTGAGAAATTGTCACCTTACCTCCATTGAGATACAAAAACAAATTCGCGACTTCCACGGAGTTTCTGTGAGCGCTCGAACTGTTCGGAGAAGGTTAAAAGAACGCGATATGGTACCACACAAGCCAGCTAATGGGCCCAAACTAACGCGAGCACACCGAACAGCGCGCCTTCATTTCGCACGCAGTCATTTAAATTGGACACAGCAAGATTGGAGCCGTATACTCTTTTCTGATGAGTCTAAAATTGTGTTACATGGCAATGATGGAAGGAAGAAGGTCTACCGACGTAAGGGAGAGCGTTTCGCACAATGCTGCTTTGAAGAGAGGGTTGCTTATGGTGGTGGCTCATGGACTGTCTGGGGCGGTATATCCGCGAGCGGCAAAACTCAACTTGAGGTTGTTACAGGACCACGGCTGCCAACATTAAATGCTGAAAGGTACATTCGTGAGTGCTTAGAACCTCACATGATACCATACGCGGACTATGTGGGCCCAAATTTCCTTTTTATGCATGATAATGCAAGAGCCCATGCGGCCGGCATCGTCAGGGAATATCTTCGGGATGTGAACATCACAGTTATGGACTGGCCAGCCAGAAGCCCAGACATGAACCCCATTGAGCACATGTGGGACGAGCTAAAAAGACGTGTTAGGGCTCGTCAGCCAGTTGCCCAGACGATGCAGGAGTTGAAAACTGCCATAGAAGAGGAATGGGAGATGATCCCTCAAAATTTCATAGAGCGGTTGATAAACTCTATGCTTAATCGTATGAGAGCTGTGGTAGATGCCCATGGAGGCAACACGCGTTATTAAATTAAACCTTTATTTGATAAAACATGTTATTTATTCAAAAATCAATTGCCTTTAACAAGGCGCATATCCGACTTGTTAGGCGTAGCTCCATGTCGTATGGTATTCTGAATTCAAATTTAAAACAATACGATCGAAAAAGATGGTAAAATGTATCAGGTTTAAAACTGCATCAACAGTTTTTGTTCAATCTAGCAATCATATTTCGGTAGGGGCCATCGAAACCTAAACTCTAGGGTGGGTGTCAATAGATGTGTCCAGAAGTGTATTATTTGTAATAGTATTTTGTTTCATTATAATAGTATTCTTAAGTAAGTATAGTGGTATTTAATATTGTATATATTTAGGTATTTAACGTATATATGAATATGTATGCACATTTAAGTAGTTATTTAGGTATATTTCCAGGTGTTATGTATTATAATTATTATATTAAGTATCATGTAGTTTTATCAATTTTTTTTCTTTTCTTTCTCCTTTTATTTACTTTACCGCATAATGTCTCTGCTTAGCCCGATGGTTGACTGGTAGAGAATGCCATGTGGCATTATGTCCGCCATTTGTTGTAAAATGACAATAAAGAGTAAATAAATAAATGTTTACGCAATTGTGGTATTGTTTAATTTTCACTAAAATGGATGAAATAAAAAAAATAAACAAAAATAAAACCGACTTTAAAATCGAAAATGGAACTAAAAAGAAAAACTTTAACTTACGTACTTTGTGGCGCTGCTGTTCATCTCGGACATTTGGTCACATTTCGGACTCGCAAACGTTACGAATTCGATATTAGTTCATGCTAAGAGTACAGTTCATAAAATTGTTCATAAGATATATAATTCTACGTTGAAAAATATTAAAATAATTTCACTATAGAAATTAGGCTCCGTTGCTTACGGGCATTGCTATGTTCACGCCACGTAATTCCATAAAAAAACATCCTACATTACCATAACTTGTTTATATTCGCGCGTATGATGACGCAGGTTTATTTTTTTTCGTGTAAATACAAACAAATATACAGATGAAGCTAATTAAAAATAGATAAAATATTAGAGGGGAACCTTAACAAGAATCATGATTCCGTCAGAGTTTCTATAGTTTCGTGTCCAAAAGGTAAAAAACTTGAAATGCCTCCACCTCCACCCTCTGTCTGTCCGTCCGTCACAGTCACATCCATCTCTTGAACGGAAAAAATGTCAAGTTACTGCGATCACTAATAATAAAAATATAATAAAGGGCATGGTATTAATTATACATAAAAAGTGTATATTCCACTCGTTTTGCTCGATCTACTTTTAAAAATTATGCTATGCTACCGATCTCTTAGTTTATTAGTCCCGACTCGCACTTGCTCGGTTTTACAATATCAGAGGAGACTTAAGTGTATCTGCACCCAAAAAATCTTATCCATCCTACTTACTTAGTAACTGCTAATGAGCATCGTTCGTTCTTTGGTTTACCGTTCTATCAAATGAGATTGATGGGTTCTGTTGTGTTCGTTGAACTAGCTCTTTGGCCTTTCCGTATCATGTTGCAGCCGAAAATATGCCGTTATCGCGCGGCCTACCTAGTCTCTAATGTAGTTCAAAGCCATTTGAGGTCTTTAGAAGTGTTTAGTGTTGATAGACAATGTTATTTGGTTAACGATTATTATCCTTTAGTTACATTGTATTGAGTTAATAGCATTCAGTCCAATGGCGTACAGTGATAACCGCGTTCAATCTATAATGATAGCTTTCGTAAAGGCCTTTCCCTTTAAAAATAGTCCAGTACATTTAGCTGGATCTACTTGTCAGTCCATCGATAGATTTAAATGAGGTTCTTCTTAGGGCATTAGGTTCTTACAGCAAATTTCCTCTCGCTATCTATATTATATTAATGTGTTCTCTAAGGTGAAGTTACTTCCCCAGACGGTCAATCTAATAAGAGCAGAAAAACCAGGTACCTATGCCTTTTCCCTTTATCTAGGTTCTTTAGTTATTATTATTACAGCCCATTATTAAAGATTTCACAAGTACTGTTTTCTTAATTATGTTTCCTTGAACATAAAACGATTTGGGGTGCTCAATAGAAGTGTTATCTTAAAACGAACGCTCATATACTTATATCAAGAAATTACGTTTGAGACCACTGATAACCTCTACACGGGGCATTCGGTTCAGGCATCGCAGCCATTTTGAATAGTGGCTTGTCTGACATCACTTGCTACACTCGTGTGGTAAAGAATTCAGAGCGGCTGTTCTCTTCTTTTTGTTTTTCTTATTTTGTGGTTTCATGGTGCTTCTTCGTACCGTCGAGTGGTTCCGTGCTTCTGGCTGCAGGGGTCCCATAATTGGGGCGGCAAGCATTGAGAAACTAAAATACAGTTGGAGTATATCCAGAAATATTCTGTTCGACCTGTGCAAAGGTACGATATATCAACCCAAATTGATTAGCTAGACCTATTGTATTTCGTAATGCATGTCTACCAAACTTACATATACGATATTATAGGTACCTATATATAGTATTGTAGTATATACCTACCTACTTACTCAGTTTGTGACAATCCATTTCACCAATACTTTTAAGTGTTAAATAATAAATAGGTATGGAGTTATTTATAGTTATCTTCCTCTATCTGGACCTGCTGCGACTATATTGTTGTGGATAACATAATCAATTGCAAGTTAAATTCATTTTTTTAAATAGAAATAAATTCGGAAAGCTCAGGATCGTTGTGTTTGGAGATCCCTAGAGGAGACCATATGGACTTGTCATATCCAGCAGTGGACGTCCATCGGCTGATTATGATGATGATGAAATAGAAATAGGTACCTATATTACGCGCGCCACCAATAATCATCTAGGTAATGGTGGCCACTCACTATCATGCCGCTTGATCAAGCCAAAACCATTCGGTCAAGTGGCATGTCCTTCAAAATGACTCCCACACACGGTAAGTTTGGATTGATAAAGTTTCTTTTCAAAGATCATTTGATTAAGCGGCAGTATGGTGAGTAACCACTATTATGATGAACAGTGATAACACGATGCCACTGTACACTGCAGCATTAAGACATGGACTAATGTTTACAAAGTAGGTACATTAAACAAAGTCGCTCCCGCTGTCGATCTTTTAAACTGCGCAACGGATTTATAAATCAGTTTTCAACAACAGATTGAGATAATATGTATAATAGTGTTGTACCGAATGTGGGTCCTGCCGAATGTCGAATTCGGCCGAATGTTCGGTTTGTTTGAATGTCGGCCGAAATTTGGTTAAAGGAAATCTCCTTTCGCTCAGCTTCCATACATGTTTGGCCTAAAGACCAATAATAATGAAAAATTGTTTCCTACATTCGAAATTATATATAAATTACTGTAGAAACGAATATTATTGACGGACACCCCTGAGAACTTCTATAAACCATATACACTGAACATATTAAAATAATAAAAAACAAAAAAGTTACATAATAAACTAGGGAAATCAAGCCAAGTACCGAAATTATGGATTAGATTCAGGTATATAGAGCATGTAGATTAACAGATAGTTGCCTGTTTTTAAAGTTAATGCATAAGAGTAACTTTTAAAATCAGGTGTCATTTCCGGTTATAATAAGGTATCTGTGACAGAAACCGTGTGATGATTGTGAATGAGCCACAGATTAGAGAGAATTTTTAAACTCTCGTTAACCAAAGCAAGCTAAGAGATTTAGGTTCTATAGCCATATATTCAGTAGCTTCATTATTTTTCTTATGTTTTTAAGATAACTATATTTTAGATTTTTAGTGTATCACACCTTATAATTTTATTTATTTATTAATTTATAGTCAGGGAACGTAGGCCCATATATAGATACCTTAAAGTCTAACATATATACAGATTATAATGTGTGTATGGAGGTGTTTGGCGAAAAAAAAAATGGTTGCCTGTAAAGTCGGTTTTACGGGCGAAGATTTTACGTGACAACGTCTTTTTCTCGGTAGAATATTTATTGATATGAATATAATTAAATTGCACAATAGGAACAAGGAATTGAATGAAAATAAGAATTGCACAAATTTTAACTATAGAAATATATTTTGTTTACTAAAACATTGTACATGTAAACTTAAACTTAACACGAGAGACTCATCGTAACGTTACCGAGCGTTACACTTTTTCATAAGTGACTCCCAGCCGCAACCTAATTTAAGACGTTGTCACGTCAAAATGTATGACAATAGACTTTATGATGTCGCCTACCATCTATAATAATTGTCTGAGCACATTTGCATCTATAACAAAATGATGATATAGTGGTGGATATTAATACCACAGTGTAATAAAAGAAATGATTTATTTTATCGATCTTTACAAAATAGATTTGTTTTTATGTTATATAAACAACTTCGATCAGTCTTTGGCTGAATGTTACTATACCCATAGCCATTAAAAATGATTCGTATATTTTCCAAACCGGTAAAATTAAAAGTCCTTTTTAAAGTAAATATATTATACAAAGGTGTCCGTTGAAATCTAATGGCTGTAAATTAAATTATAAATTACGCCAAGAATTACCGTGTATGTCAATATTTTTTATGCATTTAGGCCAATTTGAGCAATCTCCTTTCATGTACTTTAGCTGAGATAACAAAATGGTTAAATATTGTTTTGTTACAATAAAAAAAATACTAAATGTCAATGTATCATTATCTAAACTAAGTAACAAAGAAGAAATAATGTTATGTTAAATAAATAAATAAATATTTCCAACACACCAAGACTAGCCCCAATGTAAGCAACTGTAGGCTTGTGTTATAGGATAGTAGGGTAACGGTTAGAACACATATACTGATACGCATATAGGTTATATTTATATGGAAATACATTTTATTTAAACATCCATGACTGGAGTACAAATGCTAGTTTGCATCACACAAACATCTGCCCCCACCGGGATTCGAACCCGGGACCTTTCAAGTAGGCGATACC